ATTCCTCCCTGACTCCCTCATCCCGCAAAAGTCCGAGAAGTTTAGGTTAATCTTCATAACTTTCCCTTCAAAGACCATTATCACAGAGCGATCATGTAAGTTGTTTGTCTGTCAGCCCCCCCCCCTTCCGTACGCCGCTATAAGATAGAGGACACTCCGCATCGCATTTCCTGGGCTTATGGATGAAATCTGCTATTATTTTCCTCCCTTTGGCGTCAATCCCGCGCCGTAGAGGGGTCCGCTGTTCTTGTTAACCATCGGCATCCTCTTCCAGGACATCCTCGGCCACAGCCTTCACTTTACTGAGGTCTCTTCTGATCACGTCTTTAACCTTTTATTCGGGGCTTGTGCTTTCAAGTCTGGTGCCTTCCTTATATAGCCTGAACCTTCGCAAACGCGCCTGTGTCTTCAGCTGGACTGGAACTGTCTTGTTGCCGCATGCCATCGTTTCCGTCTGCTTCTAGACGAGTCCTGCTTCAGGCCCATCTAAGCAGCCTGATTTCAACACAGTGGAGCTGTTTTTCCATGGTTCTTGCCTAAGGGCAAGCATTTGCTGCCGTAGAGCACTTTAGGCCTTACAACGCCCCAGTACACAGTGCCTTTCAATGGTCTTGGAGCATCGCCTAGCAGAGGATACTGGTGGACTTCCTTCATCCAAGCCGCATTCATTCGAGCCTTTACTGCGTGATTGATGGCCATCACAGGTCAAATAACTTAGCAGGCCGCGTAAGTTCTCCACCCTGTACGGTTTCACCCATAACTGTCATTGATGGGCTCCGCGCACTCCTCAGCTCAGGAACTCCTGCCTTTGAATTTCCACCAGTTGATGTTAGAACACTTAAACTTTCTGAAGCGATTAAAGGCGTTAATCCAGAACACTTACCTGATCAGATCTCTACAACAATCTTCCACGACAGATATGCGCATCGGTCTGTTTGTTCTGCTGGTTTCCTTCAGCATTTGTGCGGCACTTTATTTCTTTGAAGTGAGCAAAATTATTACTTTGTAAAAATTCATGATACCATAAAGTGTTGGTAAATCCGAAAAAGGATGAAGAAATATTCATTACCTTGTCCTTCAGTCCGTCGGCTAGATGGAAGTCTCCAGCCTCAATTCCGAAACTAAAACTGTAAAAAAAGGAGTTTATACGGAGTGAAGGGCATCTGACTACACACTTTAAATAAAACGATGACATTTTCTTTTCACTAGAATAAATGTTTGGACTGCTAGCGGTGACGAACGCCGTTCAGCTCCCCTAAAAACTGTATATAGTCTTCAGGAAATAGGCTTACATCAGATGATCGAAAAGGGAACTCCTGTAGGAGAAACCTACTGTAGATCGGTTATTTGGTGGGTGAGTAAGAACTCCAGAGAATCAGTCTTTTCGGATTTTTCATACGGTCAGCACACAAAAATTGAACGGCAATTCCACTCATCTTTTCACTGAGAGGCTGATTCCTAGAGTTATGTAAAGAGTGTATAGCAAGAAAAATAGAGGGAACATAATTAGTCACAGAATAAGAGAAATCAAAAATTTTGGTACCGAAAACCTTCACGATGTCCTTTTGAGAAGCTTTACGATTCATCAAGCCCTGTAAACGGAATGAAGGTACACTACTTTTTTACAGGACGACGACGGAATCTATAACGAAGAGGGCTGTGGAGAACGTGAGAAGATTTCAGTTACCGCGATATTCGATTGAGTAACATTTTATTGCAGGTCCTTTTGGTCCACGTTTGCGCGTAGATGGTGGAGAAATTGCAGAGGAAAATGAGATACCATGGGCTGCTCTGCTCAAGAGGAAAGGTAAGTTGTTCGTGTATTTTGAATACTCTTCTAAAAGCGCTCCACGTGACTTTTACGGAGTTTTTGGAGTCATGTGACTTTTTTTCACAATACTCCGTTTGCCTTTTCATTAGATTCCCGCAAAATCATTTGTCTCAGGAAACTCATGAAAATGAAGAGTAATTTGGCCTAGCTCGTCTTGTGAAAGCATTCTGCCCAGAGATCGCTTTCGATGCCGCCTGTGTGAATCCCATATGTTCCCCTGTCAGCGCAAGAGCATCGGCTGCGTTTACACTTGAGTCTACAAGTCGGACCCAGGCAGGACGTGTAACCCAACAGGAACGAGCAAAAAGACTGGCAAAAAGGCTATATGCCTCCCAACCGAACAGCTCAACTCATTTTATAGATGCTGCCCTCAAAACTGATAACCAGTCTCACTCACGGATGAATATTTCAGAACGAGAAGGCTACTGCAGCGGCACACTGATCACGAAACGACATGTGTTAACAGCGGCGCACTGTTTCAAAGAATAGTAATTTTTCACCCATTATTTACAAGAATCACATAGTGCTGCGTGTATTTGAGGGGAAGGAGATTGAGGCTATTCTCTGAAGAAAGACGTCGAAGAACATAATAGAAATTTACAACAGGTTTTTTTTACAGGAAATATAGAGATACGCTCGAGACGATCTTGGAAACAATGATTGGCAGTGATTGCACAAGATATCCTTAAACGACAGAAGTTTCATCGCGTGAAAAACGTTCGTAAATTTTCCATGTAATCTGATGTCTCCGATATTATCAGTTGTCTTTCATTTTCTCTTCCCAGTCAATTCCCACCTCTTCCTTCATGCAACCACGTCTGCAACTCAACCTGGCGCTCGGGGTTTACGGTCCTGGGAAGGGATCCAAAGTCAGAGTAGTGTCTCGTCCCGTAACAGAAGACAGCTATTTACATGGCAAACTGATATGAAAAGCTAATTTTGAAACTGTTGAAGCTGGTGTACTTGTTGGTGAGGGAGGAAAAATCCTACTCAGTTGGTCGCATTAGGATACCTGCCCTGGCAAGTACAGAACACAGAAGAATTTTGGGGAATCCCTTTCAGGCTAAGAAGAGTACTCTTACGAGATGTAAAGCTCTCGCCAAAACACGCGGTGTGGCTGACTTTTTCATTTTAGACATGGGTGAAGTGATAAAGTTAGCATTTCCGGCGAAGAAGCTTTTCTATAGGGTTTAGCTCCATTTCATCACTTAGATTACTTTCGGGGACACCTTTGCAACAAATTTGAAGTCTTGTACGCTGTGCGGATCTTAGTGGGAGGGGGTGTCATAGGGGAAGGAGGCCGGGTTGCTCGGAGCCAGCCCGTTTGCCACTGAATGTTGTTCTTGTTCGCTCCAATGGTGGAGAACGGACTGACGCCGCACCAAACCCATTTTCCTGACACGCGCCACCATCCGTAGTAAAAGAAATTGCACTTCTGGCTCTATCTTATTAGATTCTGGCTCTATCTTATTAGAACTTGGCTGAATTCTTCTAAGTCAGAATTCGGAGAATAACGAACTGCGGAATATCTCTTCACTGCACCCCTTTCTCATAAATACTAGAAAACTAAGAACTGAAAGAGAACGTTGAACCCGGACACCTGGGTGCATTTTGTGAGATAATTTCTGCCGTTAATCACTCCTTGTCATCGTCTTACAGCTTTAGCTGTGGATACCACACAGTAGATAAAGACGTGGCGTTAACTTACCATTAGAGATACAGCAGATTCCTTCATAAAAATTACTTACCATTAGAGATACAGCAGATTCCTTCATAAAAACAAGTAGCAGAGAAAACTTCCTCTCCATTTGGTGAAGCCAAAACATCACGAGCCTCGGTAACAGCAAAAATATTGATTAAGGTCTACTTTCTACCGACAGGCGATCGTGCTACCGATCCGAACGACATCGCCATTGTTCAGCTGTACACCCCAGCGGTAGAGAAAGGAGTCTGGCCGATTTGCCTTCCTTCAGAACAGGACCAACTGTTCAAAGGAGAGAAACCACGTGTTGCTGGATGGGGAATTCATCGTTAGTACATTTTTATGAAGGAGTTTCCTAGCATTTACACCGCACCCTTTAGCAGCGCAACCAACTCGTTCTTCTGACCATGAGCTATAGAAAGCTAGTAGGTGGATCTGTGACAGTATAGAACCCTGTAAGGTAGTACTTAAGTGGCAGTCGAACGGCTTTATTACGGTAATGGCGGATAAACAATAATAACTAGTCAGTACCACCGCAGAAAGTCTAGGACTATGTTGCTCAGGAATATTGACTGATCAGAAGTCGACGGGGCACTTTGGCGACGCAAGAGGGGCATTCAAACTTTTGCTACTTCCCATCGACTGTCGACCCATCTAGGGTGCTTCGTGAGGTTACAAGAGTTGGCAGTCTTAATGGTGGCTAGACGAGCACGCTCTAGATTCAGAAGAGTTCACTATTTTTATCAGAGCGAGACTTGTGAACAGGAACTAGTGTGGCAGCTAAAGTAAAATCAAATACCGCCCTCGTCGCCTAGCTGGTTGGCGTGGACTCACACCTTCAGTTTAGAAGAAGAAAGCGGTGAGGAGGGAAAGGTTACCAACATCTCAAATCTTTTCTTTTTCTCTTACTTTTTCTAGTTGACTTATTTGCGCGAATGCTCTGGCAAATTTTCATCGTAGAGGGTATTTGCTCGAGTGCCGGATAACACTGTTGAGGTTGCCTTATCTAACGTTTCTCCATTGAAATAGCCTTGTTTTAGCGGAACACAACGGTGACGTCATGCTGCACAAACTCACTTACGCACGGAATCAAAGCAGCTACGAAAACGAAATGTACGT